CTCTCTCTCTCCCCCCTCTCTCCCCCCCCCCTCTCTCTCTCCGTCTCAAACATACTGATGAACAAATTCCATTCTCTCTGCCTCTCCCTTCATTTCTCTCGTTTCCCTCTGGAGTTTTTCCCCTCTCATCTCCATATGTAACGTTAGAGTCAGAATCCAGATCTCTCTGCTTCTCTCTCAAAGCCTCCACACCAGAAGAGAAATCATGTTGACATCAAACGTATATTCAGGAGATCTCAGTTTAAGCTGATTGACTTTATTTAGGATCCCTCAAAGGTGTTTCATGTTGGAACTATTTGACCATCTTTCTTCTTTATAACAAGGTGACAAAGCAGATGTAGAGTAATGTGTACATCCTGTTGAGAGCATAACACGTGTGCTGCAAAAGAGTTTCTTCTTTTTTTATTGGTGGTAAATTAACATTCACTGCATATAGCTTAAAGCCTGGCTCAGACTGCAGGAGTTTTAAAATCAAACCACATTTTAAAATCTTGTAGCATCATGCACATTAGGAGAATCTTAACAGTTGTTCTTCTCTATAATCTCAAGCATGCACACACTACATGATGTGAAAATAATGGCACATACATGTTACAGGATTTTATCAAAGTTATTATGCCCTGTGAAGGAATGCATCACCTCATGTGACCTCATGTGACCTCATGTGACCTCATGTAAAATATCAGCCGTCAGTTAAATTGTAATGTTTTGTGCAGAGAGGAAAAAGTTAGTTTTAGTGAAGAAATGTCTGGGTACAAGTGGACAACATGGGTTGTGTATCTTCAGGGAGAGCTGGAGGTCAGATTGTACCTTAGTTTTTAGTTTAGTTTAATCGTTTGAATCAGGGACAGTGTACAAAATAAAACATTAGTCTCAGAAGAGATGCTTTGTACCAGATTTATCTAGCTAGCTAATTTCCATCTGTTGTCTGTTGTGGGTTGCATCCTGCTGCCAGTCAACACCATTTTTCACTGATAACTGTCCTCCATTGTCTCTCGCTGTGATTTTAGTCACACACAAACTTCTGCCAGAATCCTTCATGATGTACTCGTCAAGATATTTAATCCGAAATATCAAACATGTTTGGTATAAATCGAGGCCTGCCTGATGATCTCCGAGCGGATCAGGGACGTTAAGATTGTCGGGGAAGGAGGAATCGGACTTCAGGTGGGTCCCGGTTATCCTGCAGTCTGAACCAGGATTAAGAGAGACAAGAGGAAATGATGCTTCACAGAAGGTGGATGTGAGTGTGTGATGAACTGAAGAGGAAAAAGAAATCATTCTGAGGTCGTCCAGAGTCAGACAGCCAGCGAGTGAAGGTCTTTAATGTGTCTCCTCTATGCACCTTGTGATCTTCTCTACTATGTCATGTATGTCTCCAAACAGTATGGGAACAGGCTTTTTGTAACAGTTAATAGAAACTTCCATGCCCCTTTTTTTCAATCTTCAAAAACTGTTAAACATTCTCTCTTTGGATTCAAAGTTGTATGAAAATGAAAGTGAAGATCTTCACCGTGAATGACTCACACAGACGTGAAGGTTCTTGTTTGCAAACACGAACAGCTCTGGCATAGTTTAAAGTTTCACACACACACACACACACACACACACACACAGAGAAACACACCATGCACACACACCCTCGCACACTCGTTCACTTCCAGCTGGGAGCCGGGGAATCCAGATTTGTGTTATCTTTTCCAGACGGGGTAACAAGCAGCGGGTGAGGTGTTCCCATAAAAATATACACCTCTTCCTCTCTCTCTCTCTCCTTGTCCTTAAACACACACACACACACACACACACACACACACACACACACACACACACACACACACACACACACACACACACACACACACACACACACACACACACACCCTTTCCGAACATCCCAAACTTCCACAGGGGTTTCCTCTTCGTTGCTCACATTCCTGTCAGTTACCTCAGCAACACACACACACACACACACACACACACACACACACACGCTATAAAAAAAACCCTTACAGTAACACACACACTGAATACGGTGCATAACCTGGAATAGGAAAGCAATCTTCACACAATTCCCGGTTTGGTTTTAAAGATCAGTGGTGATACGTTCTGTCGGTTCACTCAGAATACAACATTTTTTAAGTTTAAAGTCAGACTAAAAGAGGGGCAGAGAGGGTAAGAGTGAGCGGGGGAATGGAGGAGAAACAACGGAAAATGAGGAGAAACGGAGCAAAGCATTGTGATTAAATAAGAAGAGAGAGAGAAAGGTCAACGATTTGAAATGACACGCGACTTGTGGAAAAAAAGGAGGTTTGTATTAAGGAAGGACAAAACCGTCTGGATGAGGAGGAAAACAAGAAACTGGTACTAATTTGAAAGAAACTCACATGGAAAAAGCAGATCAGGACGAGACGGAGGACAGGAGAGATGCAATCAAAAGTAAGCCTAAAAGTAACGATGAAAAGAGTGAACACAAAGTGTATTTTTAAGAGGGCATGGATTGTTAAATATTTCAAAGAGACAAAAAAAGAGGTCAAAGGGAGGGAGTGAGGTGAAGAGAGGCCAAGACACAACATGAATAAAGGCCCAAATCCCCCCCCTCCTCTCTAGAGTGGATGCTCACTCAGGTCACCATGTGGTGGACTCTGAAGCTTCAGTGTTTATCCAGCTCTGCATGGGTCTGTAAACCTTTCTGTGTTCTAACCTCTCTCCATTTTTCAAAAGCATCTCCAATATTGATCCTAGTTTGAGCACGTTTCTGCTCGTGGAGCTTATTAGAAACATGCAGAGGCTTTTTAGGTCGGGTACAATCACTTCTATCTGAACCACTTCTCTTGACCTCTTCCATCGCTGCAACACCTGTTGACCTGATAACTGCTCTCATATCTGACAAACTGAGGGGCGTCCAAAACGGCCGTGTGGGGGGGGTCGCCTTTAAAGCGCCTACCTTCTCTGGTCCAAACAAATCCAGAGCATTCAGGAGCAGAATCTAAAGTTAGAAGGAGGACATACTGGCTGCTGCATTGTTGTCAGAGAAGCCAGCACTTCAACATACCATGTTTCCTTAATGTCTGATCATATAGTAAGATACCTTTATCAATTCATTCAGTAGATATCTGACAGATTCGACCTTTAAAATCAACTTCATTAGACAGACACGAGGTACATTTAGCATTTTGGAGAAAATTGGAAAAGAGAGGAGATTGGGAAATGGATGGAGATTAAGAAAGTTGAAAGATGAAACAAAAGCACAAATAAAAAAAATAAACTCAAAAAGAAAAACAGACCAAGATTGAGAAGTTGTGAAAATGAGAAAGGAAACAGAACAAGATGCAGGAATCTAACTTGTGGGAAAGAGAATAAAAAAAACACTAAAGAGAAAAAGAAAATTAGAGCAAGTGGGGGGGACAGAGAGGGGATAAAACTGAAGAAGAAGAAAAAGGAGAGAACAGTTTTATTCTTGTTCCAAATGTTTTCTTAGAACCCGTCAGCGGTTTGTTTGGGGGGGGCCGGGGGGGGAGCGGCCCGTCGAGCCAAATTTCGTCGAATGTCTGATCTGAACCCGGAGAGGACAGAATCAGAGCAGATCACAGAGGATTTCAGCTCCGCACGAACACTGAGGTGATTGTCTTTTCTCTCCTTTTTCCCACCCCTCCTTATTCCATCCTTTATTTTCCATCCAAAGAGAAACGCAAAAGACCTAAAGCTTTCAATCTGGACGTTGAGGAATCCATAATTACTCTGTTTGTCCTGGAAAATCAAGCTGGGTCTGCATTTTTTTGGATTGCTCTTCAGAAATCATACCTGAGAGAGTTTTCAGTCCATCTTTCTCACAAACTGTTGGCGCTGGACCTGCTGCTGCATACATCTCCATGAATTATCCAGCAATAAATAAAGCTATGATGTTGGCCCTATTCTTCTTCCTGCATCTTCCTCTATCCCGGTTTTCAAACCAAAACCAAGGATAGGAAGAGCCAAAGATTTCTGCCTCTTAAAAGGACGTTTTTTTGCTAAATGTTGGAGCTCAAGTGCTCATGATAGATTAAAGGTGGATCTTTGTAATATAAAACAGAGTTATGTTTTTTACCCTCTCTTTTGTAAAGTGTCTTGAGATAACATTTCTTATGAATTGGAGTTAAATAAAGAGAGTTTGATGGATCAGCTGCTCCAAACCGTTCAGATGAATTCCTCACATGTTTTATGTTTTGGTTGTACGACTGCATACGTTCACAGTCGGAGCAGAGCCACAAGCAGATTCTCACTGTCATGCCCACCCCGATTGCCTCTGCTCAAAACGACAAAGAGCATCTTAAAGAACCATGGACACAGCATGGCCAGCCTGTTGGATGTGTCTTCCCTCTCTCACAAAAGGCAAGGCAAGTTTTTTTTTTTTATAAAGCACATTTCAGCAACGAGGCAATGAGAAGTGCTTCACACAAGACATCCAAAGCTTCTTGACAAAGGGAAAAAGAGACATTAAAATGTCATTAAAACAAATCCAAGAGAAGATTAGATATGAAATAAGTGAATATAGAAGATCGATCAGAAATAAGGACATGTGTCAAGCTCCACGATTAGACAGTCTGAGAACCGCAGTGCATTGTGGGGCGGTTTAGTTTGAGCAGTGCATTACCAACTTAAAAATTCTAGCCGATCTTTTAATCATCAGGATATTTCTCGCAAACAAGAAAAATGCATACTTATGATTTTTGATCATACGACATACATCTGACAACACATTAAAACGAATAGTAGTATGAAAGGATGTGTTTTGGACACAGCCTAGATGAAAGGGGTGGATTAATCTCGAGCTCAGGAGAGACATGATGGCAGGAACTGAAAAACAAATTCAGGAAAAGTAATGTCGACAGATTGATTGGATGTTACCAAGTTGCAACCTCCAACCAATGAGCTTCAGGGTGACAAAATGAGCCTGAAACTGTCCTCCAAAACGTTTGATTTAATGTATTCAGTGTTGCTTCAGAGACTCACAAACCAAAGTGTATTCTTAGAAGTGTTTATTTTGTGAAATGATTTTTTAAAAACAGAACAGATGCATTTACAGCCATCCCACGTTTTTCTTACAAATAAACACAAACAAAAACCATTTACTACGGAAAAATACATTTATAATCCCTGACAGACAGATTTAGAAGCACCGCAGTGACACTTCTCGGAAAACATGCTTTTTATTCGTCATTATGTGACTGCTGAGAAAAATATCCTTTGATTTTTATCCTCATTTTTTTTTTCTAAAGATAATTATTACCAAAAGCCTGAGAGTTATTGCACGACTTAAAAAAAAAGCGTCTGTCTCTCTGATGTTCTTTGTGTGTCACAGTAAATTAAAATGGAAACAAGACTGTGTTTGGTGTCAACAGAAAAGAATGCCAAATGCAGATGTAAAAGTATTTCTTTTTTTAATACTTTCTCTGAGCTGCTGCTTCTCTCTGCGGCTCTGTCCTCCAGAGGAAATGTTCGGAAAAATCTACTGTTTCTCTGTTTTTACCCACAAACAACAGTGTGGTAAAAGGACTGGTTTCACTATACAAGATACCAGATTTTGTTCTACTGTTTCATGTAAAAAAAAAAAAAAAAAAAAAAGTTGTCTGCAAGAATAATGCATTACAGATGCAGAATGAATCCTGTTGGTAAAGCGTCTGTTTTCAGCTCCCGCTGTTGACAAAAATATTACAGGATAGATGCTACATAAACACATCCAGAGAGGCCTCTGCAGTGGATACAACTGTTGATTTTTTTATTTTCTCAGCACAAACAAAACCACAAGATTGCATTTGAATTTCCAGTTGTTTAGGTGAAAGAAAAACGGTGTGGGAAGGAAGGTTTCCCGTTTCTATTGTCACTGTAATTAATTCAAGACCAGTACACTGCAAAAAAAATAACTCACATTTTAGCGAGTGTATTTGTCTAATTATTAGTCAAAAAGATCTCATTGCACTTATTTTAAGCCACATTCACCGTATTTAGTAATTCAGATAGTAAATCTCATTTATGGGGCTTAACCAGTACATTTTGTTTGCAGATATTTTTTTACTAAGAAATTCAGGCCTTGTTTTTTTTAATTTTATTTCAAACTTCGTTGAGATGATTCATTTCAATTTCAAGGTGTTCCCAACAGATTACAAATTTCAACAAGACAGAAAAGGACCAAAAAACAAGACAAAATGTTACAATACACAGACAACAAAAAGCAACCCACTCAGATTAAAATTGAGTAGTGGATGAAAAACATTACAACCAAATGATGGCCTTAGTGTTCAGCCATATCTAAGAAAAGAATATTAGTGGATCCAAATATATTTATAAGTCAATACAGATACTGATATCTTGACATAAGATGATTATCTGGACTTGTCGGGTGAATGCGACTTACATTAGGTGTACTGAAACATTTCTGACAAGAATTTGGACAAACATACAACGATATGAGTTTTTGCAGTGTAGAGATCTACTGGGAGGCAAGATCATGACACAACACATTTCAGTGGAACAAATAATTCAAATAATCTTTAAAGGACTTTTACTTTATTGCCAAGAGTCATGTTGGAATGGCATTATATCTGTTATGTTTGAAATACAAAATGTTAGCAAGGAGGCAATTAATCTATCTTAGCACAAAGACTGCAAGCAGCGGGAGAACAGGAAACCTGAATAAGGTTCAAATTCTGCTCATTGTTGTTAAATTTAGATTGATCTTAAACAACTACATGTACAATACTTTCAGGTAAAATTATGTTTTTGTAGTTTGAGAGGGAGTAAGAAAGTGTAACACCATCATGTAACAAAACAGCATGAGCAGTAACTGTACAAAAAACTAATTTTTAAACATTTATCTTTGTTTACAGTTGTAGTAACAACATTCAACAATTTGATTGTTGTTTACAGTTGTAGTAACAACATTCAACAAATTGATATGTAGGTATTAGAGGTGCAGCTCTGTTAAATATTGGAGAATGTCAAGCTAGAGCTCTACGTCTTATTTCTGTCTTAATGCTAAGCTAGGCTAACTGCCTCCTGGTTACAGTTTAAAAACTCAGCAAGTGGTCAGTATCAACCTTCTCATCTAAATCTTAGTAAGAGACTGAGTTGGCATGATTCATAAAAAGTCCTAAAATTGATAAAAACAGAATCCATAAAACAACAACATAAACATAGTCTTATTTGTACAACAAAATACTTAAAATTACAGAAATTTAACTTTTAATAAGTAGTGTTCCTTCTATACAGCTAAGACTTTAAACCCAGTGCAAAGAGAACATTTCATAGTCTCAATTTCTCCTTCACATACTGCCAACAGGCATAGCATCAATATATACAGTAAACAGCTACAAGAAAAAACATTAAAAACCCAGCACATGAACCATTACCCTTCAAAGTTTTAATTAAACTTAGTAATAGATCAATTTGGTCAAACAGCTTTCCAGTTTCCTCAGGTTTAAAGTTGCTTTGCATAAATTGGCAGACCTTGGACAAGCTGAATTTAAAACTCTAGATATAACAAGACGCTGTTTTTATAATCTACCAGTTTTGTTCCAATATGAACTTTTAGAACCAAATGTTCTGATACTTGTAGAATAAAATTACCCTTAATAACTCTGAAAAAAAGACATTTTGTTTAAACAAGTGATGTGCGTGTGATACCAGAGAGGCTTCCTGGTTAGAAAGAATGATTTATGAATCTTTAACATATCTGTGTTTTTAGCCAAAAGCAAATTTAAACTTGCAAGCTTTGGCATGAAGTTTGACGTGAGGCCCTACCGGTTCGACTGAGCGGGAGCAGCGAGTATCACGGTCAGAGAGAACCCGACCCGGCTTGTAAAACATCCTGATAGTTTGTGGGAGACATCAGTGGTTTGCTCTGGGTCTGTTGCCAAGGCTTTCCCGTAACACTGCTAAAGGTTTGGAGGCTGGATCAAGTCCTTCCCAGAGACTATTTTCAGTCTTTGTTCCTCTCCACAGTTTGTCTTTCATATTCCCATTATATATATATATGAAATTAACTATTCTAAATGTCATTAAGTTCATTGAGATGAATATTCATTTGGTCCTGCATGTTTAAAAAAAAAATATTTGAGATGATCTTGAAATTCATAGTTAGGAACTACACAGTGCATTTTGCTTGCATAGGCTTGTTTTCTTGTCGTCTGGCACCAGGGGGGTTAGAGTGCAGAGAAACACAACATGGCACTGAACTACGACAAGCATTTGCTGATATTGTAATCCCTGAAACATTTTTAACCACAGAAAAATGTAAGGGTCATAAATGTATCCAGCTATTCACAAAGACTCAGTTTAATAGCATTAACACTGCTAACGCAAAACAAAAACAAAAAAAACTAGCACCCTTGATAACAATCTAAAACCATGGTACTATTTTAAAGTACTCTCCAGCTGCCTTCAGCTTACTTAAGTTCATTTTCTTTTCTTTTTACTGGAGGCGCACCTAAAGCACTTAAAGTCAAATATTACACCCTGAAAATGTACTGATAAAAAAAGAATCAATGTTGGAATTACGCAACTGAAATGGTGAGTTTTCTTTCCTTAAGTGTACTAACACCACCAGCTAAAGCTACACTAGCTAAGCGACTGAACGTAGATGGTTTTGCTGCTGGCTTCTATTGGTCAGAGGGTAACCAGTGCTAGCAAGCTAACACACCTTAGTCTACACTAGCCACCCCTTGTAGCCTGTGGATTGTAAATATAGCTGGTTAGCTAGCAAACTAACTGTAAAATATCACTTCTAGGAATGTATAAGTTGACCCTAAAAATAAGCCAGTATGTTTACTTTGTCAAAAGTGCTTTGTTTGCCATTTTCCAGTTAGCAATTCCAGTTAGAGTTGGTAGAACAAAACCAATCACTTCCATCTTACTTTTCAGCATTAAAAAAACCCTAAACTTTTATAAGTTGATAGTTGGAATCTAAAAGGTAAAAGCAAGACATGAAAATGGCTTGACTAAAAGTATGAGCAACAACTTCCCTTCACTCTCTACCATGTAACAATCGACCAGTTTGAATCAACCATTCCCAACTGTGCAGTAAGAAGGAGGTATAAACGAGAGATGCGCTGACAAAGTATTTATCCAGTGATACAGGCACTGTAATAGACAGCACTGCTGGCATCAGAAAGAGCAGATATTAGAGGACTACTTGCCTCTTCACAACCACCAGCCCCGCTCAGAATGCTACTGACATCCCTGTTAACACTGGTGGTTATGCTACCAACACCGCTGCGCCCAGTCATGACTTTGGACCCACCCCCACAACGTCCGTAGACCTCTTCTCGATTCCTTCCAACATTTACATACTGGTCAAATTCATGCCTATCCACCTCGGACCAAAACTCAGCAGAGGAAGACCCTAAATGCCCAGACGACTCAGCATTTGAGGGCTCTAAGTGCAAAGAGGGAGGGAAGGTTGAGGGAGGGATTGAGGACGATGAGCAGGAAGAAGAAGTCTCCGGAGGAGGTGAAAGCTGCCCTAGCTGAGAGGGCATGTAGTACCCAGAATTCAGACTGCTGCTTCCATACATCTGGCCGAAGTAGCCAGAAGAAGAAGAGGTTTGATTTGGCATTTGTTGAGATTTGATCGGCTCAGGAAGGCTGATGGACGGCTGGGTGTAGGAAACAGGGGAGGAGGAATCAGATAGAGGGGGTTGGCACTTTACAGGACTTCTTAAGGCAATGTGATGACCAGAGGCGTGAGGAGGGTTTAATCTGGAGGACATGTTTGACTCAACAGAACTCATTCTAGAGTCAACTCTGGGACTTCTGCCTGGACTCAAATTAGAGTTCATACTTGTGCTTAAACTTGCACCAACACTCATTCCTGAACTCTGACCGTACGTTGCTGCACCATGTATGGAGTTGTGGTGGCTGTGGTTGTTGTAACTGTGGCCGTAATGCTGGTTATGATGGTGGAGGTGGTGATGGTACCCGCTCCAACCTCCCATCCCTGCGTCCTCCTGCACATGCTGGGGGAAGAACACTGACTCCCCAGCAGCTCCTTCTTCCAGAATATCCAGAGGGGACATCTCCGGAGTGGGCAGGCCATAGCTCTCCAGCTCTAGGTGTCCCGTTGCCTGGAGGTCCCTGAAGTGTCCAAGAGAAGGCAGCAGGTGATGGGAGTGATGGTGATGCTGAGGGTGGGCACCTGGATGTCCATAAGTAGAATTGTCCGCACCCAACGGACTCATTCCAGGTCCTAATCCCAGGCCTGGAGCCCCGCCTTGGGCTAAACTGTGAAGCAGAAGGCCCGGTTCAACGCGTTTGAGTTTCTTGGTGGTCTTCTTGCGGCGAGGCCTGTACTTGTAGTTTGGGTGGTCCTGGAGGTGCTGGACACGGAGACGTTCTGCTTCCTCCACAAATGGTCGCTTGTCCGTAGCACTGAGGGCTTTCCATGACTGACCTGAAAGGAAGAGGACAGGAGAACGTTTCAAAATAAGTCAAATTATTCCATTTTGTCTGCACTTTTGAAAAAGACAGAGAGAGAATGATGACATTGATTTCACTGACCATAATTGTTCACATCAACATCTTTATCAGTTTGTGAATTCTAGAGCTGTCCCTGTCAAACTTTTCTTGATGAACAATACATTTCTGGCCAACAAATAATCGTCCATCTATCCTTTATCTATACTGCTTATCCCTTTCGGTGCTCTGGGAGGGCTGTAGCCGATCCCAGCTGTCGTTGGGAGAGAGAGGCGGGGTACACCCTGGACTGGTTGCTAGTTAATCACAGGGCTGACATATAGAGACAGACAACCAAACTACCATTCACACTCATGCCTATGGAGTCACCAATTAGCCTTAGGAGCATGTCTTTGGCCAAAGTACTCAGCGATAACCCACATACGCATGGGGAGAACATGCAAACTCCACACAGAAAAAAAGCCCTTTCCCATGTGATTTGAATCAGAAACCTTCTTGCTGTGAGGCTACAGTTCTAATAACTGCATCACTGTGCAGCCCACAACAAAATATGAAATAGTCAAAAATGACAAAAAATATTTATTTCCCCCCAAAGAAATGTTATTTCTCATGGAAAATTTAAAGAAACCAAGCAAACAAGATCTTTTTTGACACTGGGAGTGGTTAAATGTCACCAGCTTTATAAAGAAAATAAATTGATTATTATAGAGACAGTAGATAGATAGATGATGTTTTTGCCTTTGATTGCCTGAAAATGACCGAAACATGAAGTGCTAATATGCAGATTTAAGACCGGACCGGTTTCTGTCATGCCTTAAAAACAGGATAAGTGAGGACATGTCCCAACATGTCTGTGTTCGTAGTTAAAAGTAATGAAACAAAAACCTTTGATAAACCAGATATGAGAACTTATGATGGATTTAAGCTAGTGTAATAATGGCTTTTATTCACAGTTCTCATGGTTGCAGATAGCAGCGGCCCTGAGATTTAAAAAGCATCGTTATTTCCACAAACTTTATTGTTTGAATCTCAGAGGAGCTCTGAAAATCTAGAGTTGTGTATCAGCTCAGCGTGTATCATGTTTGATATTTCATAAATTTGAATCAGAGCTTGTTGCACTGTAAAAAGACAAAGAGTTTAAATAGCTACATGCCCTGTGCACTAATCTTAATTAATCTCTTTCCAACATTGGATTGAGCACACAAAAGTGTGCTATTATCAAGCACACTTTTATTTTAGGACTTAAAGTATAACAGCTGGCTTATTTTAAAGCTGAAAGTGATGAAATCCCAAGTTTAACTGATTTTCCTTTGTAGCTATAAACTCAAATAGAAAAAAGATTTATTAACGCAGATGTGACATCTGACTTAGTGTGCATCCGTCCAGCTGATCGATCATGATTAAAACAATGGCAGCAATAACAACACATTGCAAGAACTGACTTCATATGATGGGCTCCTCTTTAAATTATTCTCAAAGCAACAACCTGTTAACATGAAGGATACAAAAACAAACAAATCAAGTCCATCCAAACTCTTCAAATCAAATCTTCACCCTCCGACAGTTAAAAGGTCTCATCCAGAGTTTCAAGTTTCAGGGAAGAACAGCAGCTGTGGTTAGCATGGATTCATTTTTGTTGTGGTGTAATTCATATTTAGATTCAGACTCTGGAGTTTGGAGAATAATGAGCACATTTTAAACAGCAGAACGATGATTTATGCTGCAGGAAGTTTCTCTGGACTTTTGGGATTTTTCCAATTATCCTAAAACTGAGGAAACTAGAAAACCTTTTGGACCTCTTGAGTGAGTGATTGAAGCTAAAAAGATTTATTCAATATGTAGATCCAGACACCATAGATCAGCTCCATCCTTCTGCAAGTTTTTCAGTTTAAAAAAAAATAGAAAGAAAACTTGGCTAAACACTAAAGAGGTATTGCATCGACTTCAGTTTTGAGAATGAACCTGTTTCTGAAGCTTCTTTAAAAAGCAGTGTGTGTGTGTGTGTGTGTGTGTGTGTGTGTGTGTGTGTGTGTGTGTTTGTGTGTGTGTGTGTGTGTGTGTGTGTGCATGCATGTGTGTTTTTGCGTGTATCTGTGTGAGTCCCTTTTTGCGCGCCTTCTGTAAGCCTGTGTGAGTGCTGTATGAGAAAGGAGAGGGAATATAATAACTTTATATTTGAACACATTTTGATTTGAATTGGTTGGCTCAGGGTTGTTTAAAATCTCACTTTATTGTTTTTTCTACGTTTTACTGTTTAGCATATTTAAAATAAGCACTTGAATTGAAATGAACAGAATTTAAAACAGAATGAATTCACAATCAAACAGACTGAATACATAAAGCTATGCTGCGTTTACTAAAGATAAGACGGGACCAAAGTGCATCTCTTTTAAGTCGATGGATTATTAGAAAGATAGAGAAACATAATGTAGATGTAAGTGTGCGTAATGTTTAGTTGTAATGTGATTATCTGTGTCAGACTTGGTTACAGTCATATTTAAATGATGCTCTGCAGAGTTTAAAAGTTGAAGCGAATATTGTGAATACTGCGACTCGGATCGGATGGATATCAACAATTCAGTCAATGAAAACTGATTTAGTATTTAGTCACAGATACACACTGACATCGTGGTGAGTCTCAGGAGTTTCTTCCCTGATTATTGTTCAAAAAAGTTTGGAAATTGACATCAAGCTGGTTCTACTAATTTAATGCTCATCAAACATTTTACTCTTTCTTTCCTGAAGGACTTTTTTCTCTTACCGAGCATCTTGCTGAGCACGGCGTTGTGGAGGTCAGGGTTCTGCACGGCCAGCCGCTTCCTCTCGTCTTTAGCCCAGACCATGAAGGCGTTCATGGGCCTGCGGATCCTCTGCTCGCCCCCCGCGGCCTTCCCATCGACTGAGCCCGCCGACACACCCCCCGTCGGGGTCAGGTCCGACGGACTCTTCCCCCCTGAGCCGGACGTCAGAGAAATCCTCTGCTCCGTCCTCCTCATGACTCCGAGGCTCTCAGGAGAGCTGCAGTCCCCAGAGAGGTTCTGCTCGAAACCCATCTCGGAGTCCGACGCGGGGCTCGGGGTCCCGGACGCCCAGGGGCCCCCGAGGGACATCCGGGTCGCATGCAGAAGAGTCTCTCTGGACAAGCTGGGCTCGGCTAAATTCATTCCAGAACCGGGCTTGGATTCAACTTTCTTTTCTTTTTTTTTTTAGTCCGAGTGAGATCCTGCAAACGTCTGTGTCAGTTTGTCGGGTTGTAAAGTTCTGGAAAAGATTAGCAACTCAAAATGCTTCAGATGACAGAGAGACAGATCGAGAGACGAGTTTGATGGATTTGGAGCACAAATCCCAAAGCAAAGCATCGAGATGTGAGAGGAGGGGAGGGAAAAAAAGAGAAAACAAACAAGTTGTGGTGCAGGATATTCCCCCTGAAAGTGATCCACAATGACTCTGCTTCTTTCTTTTCTTCACTCCGTTTTCTCTCTCTCTCTCTCTCTAAAGACAACAGTTCTTGTTTGGAGTGTGCGGTGCAGCGGTTTGTCCAGAGCTCAATTCCCCCCGCCGTCACTCAGGCCGTCCGACTCGCTGTCTCTCTGCCTGTCTGCCCTGTTTGAAAGTTTTGAAACTTGTGGCCAGATTCTGCCGACCCACGCTGGGTATATATATACCCCGCCCTTACCGATCACATAAATATAAAGCTGGGGGATTTTAACCAATGAGACGCCAGGCAGGCGCGAGGGAAAAAGATGAGTGTGTGTGGGAGACAAAGTAAAGGAGGGAGGGAGGGGGGGGAGGCCTAAACGTCGCCTCCCTCTCTTTCCTCCTCCCTGACCGCCACCCTTTCCTCCCCCCTGAAGCTCCTCGCACACACACACACACACACACACACACACACACACACACACCATGTCCGCCTGAACAGGGAGATGTAATCAGAGAGGTTCCATTGTTTCTGCCCAACTGAGAATGGAGCTTCTCACACACACACACACACACACACACACACCAATACACACATTCAAGACACATGCATGCAAACTGTTGCACACACACACACACACATATAGGCTACATACATAAATGCACAGACATATACACACACACACACAAAACGAGCACACACATTAAAACGAGACCGAGAAGACACATGTGTAATTAAGTCTGCACACAAATGAGAGACGAAACATGAATACACACACACATACTGTATAGTATGCGTTTCTATATGTGTGTGTGTGTGTGTGTGTGTGTGTGTGTGTGTGTGTGTGTGTGTGTGTGTGTGTGTGTGTTGTGTGTGTGTGTGTGTGTGTGTGTGTGTGTGTGTGTGTGTGTGTGTGTATTTGAGGGCAGGACAGTGGTAACACAGTTGACCACAGTCCCAACCAAAGCGATTAGTGGCTGAGCTTAACAACAACTCACCATATGAGAGAGAGAGAGAGAGAGAGAGAGAGAGGGAAATAAGAGAGAAGGAGAGAAAGGGAGAGAGTGATTGGGTTCATGCATTTATTACCCCAACGTGTTTTTTATCCATTTGTGTATTTTAAGGATTGTTTATTTGGCCAGAAAAGTCGCAGTGAGATGCATCATCATCTTCTGAGTTTCAGAAGTTTAATTTAAACCCAGGATCAAAATCTGTCCCCATGCATTCAACTTTTTAAAACGGCATTTTCCCCCCAAAAAGTCTTATTTAATCACAAGTTATCCTGCAAACCTCTGATTGCTTTCCTATTGCCAAGTCATCAAATGTGTATCATCGTCCCGGCCCCCCCTTTGGCCTCTCATATAAATACATAAGGTAGCATTTGTTTGTCAAATAAGCGCTGATTTCAAGGTTGGTTAAAAACGGTCAAATCAGGGATGTCCATCCGAGTCGTCTTTTAAGTTATTTTTCAACTGATTAAAATGCATCAACATGCCATTTAACGCGAGAAACTTTCACCTATGAACCTGTTTTGAACCTGTTTTGAACGGTGGCCAAAGACGCTTGTGCATATGGGCAGTGAAATGCACAACTGTTCAGCAGGATCACGCAGACAAACATTACAAGACATAAATATATAAAGTGTAAAATGTGAAAATAAAATAAATAAGATAAACAAAAAAAGTTGATTTGAAGTGTTCGGTGTTAAAGTATAAAAGTGACTAAATGAATAGAAAACCTTTATATTCAAACAAAAAAAGTTTTAATAAGTTTGGTTGAGTTTGTTTATTGTGCGATAGTTGTGCATGTTGAAAATGTGAAAGGGTGCAGCTGACTGCTGCAGATCAGTCGCAACTCGTTCTGTCTCTCTTGTGCACAAACATCACAGTAAAATAATTTAGCGCTTACTGTTTGATTTTGCAGGAAAGAAAGACTGAACTATTTGTGATGCTTTTCATGTGCTGCTTGAAGAATCTGAAAGTAAGACAGACACAGAGAACAGTGCTGCATTTATGAGATACTTTGAATCCAAGAACAACAAATGTGTGATTTAGACATAGTGCATTGGATTAAATATCCTTAAGTGTTAAACCTTCATGTGCTTATAGAGGTTAATCAGTCTCAGGGTGAATCAAAGAGAGAAGTTCAGCTTTAAAGAAAAACAAACTGATTTAAATTCAGACTTGATTTTCAAACGCGTCGCTCATTTCAACGACTTCTTAAGATGAATATTGTATGTGGTGTGTTTGTCTGTCTGCCAAGGACATGCCCCCCTACCCTTTCCCTCCACTGCTATATAATGACCCCCTGTACACACACACACACACACACACACACACACACACACACTTTCCTCCCCACGCCCAGCTCCAGGGGAGACTGCAGCGGCGTCTCAGAGCCTCCTGCTCAACCCTCCAGGAACTACTCCCACTTACCACTGCTGTCCCTGGCTCCATGTGCATGTGTGTGTGTGTGTGTGTGTGTGTGTGTGTGTGTGTGTGTGTGTGTGTGTGTGTGTGTGTGTGTGTGTGTGTGTGTGTGTGTGTGTGTGACACTGTTTTTAGTGTGTAAGTATATTGAAGATATCATGGTGTGTTTTCAGGGACAGACACTGAACGTCATAGTTGACACGCGAGTCTTAACCTTCAAGCTCTGTCCTCTTTTTTTTTGGGGCTCATATTAATTTATTTTGTCCTAATATTTAATTAAAGGTAATGACAGCTTATTGTGTCTGTCAAAAAAGTAGCACCACATCACCTGGATCTGTTTACTTGCTCAGTGTAGAACAAAATAGTTTACTGTGCCAAGAGGTAGTTTCTGCTTAAAATTCTCCCGGCACAGGGGTGAAGCTAGATTGTGCCAGGCGGTCCCCCCTAGAGATCTGAATGGCCACCCCAGGACTATGATCGGTTATTTATTTTGTAAGAGGCAAAAATTGTTTTTCAATCAATTACTGTTAGTGGCTTTCTTTGTATTTCAATGTATCCAGTTTCATTTAGTTAGTACTATAAATCATTGGTTCTCAACTGGGCGAGCCTCAGGACCCCCCACACCAACTCCTTCATCAAAAATCATGACCCAAACTTCTGATATTTTTAAACAATTCCAATATATTACATGAAAAATAATGCAGTTTGGATCTTAGACGGTAGAAAAAAAAGCTTGTTTAAAAGGCATTTCATAGACTTTTTATGACCAACAAAGGCAGCTCCGCGACCCTCTTTTGGGTCCCGACCCACACATTGAAAACCACTGTTCTACATCGTACTTTTGATTAAAATAAATTTTAATCCAGGATTAAGTGGAGGCCATTTAAACATGGCTACTATTTTTTAAGTAAAAAAAGTGTGTGTGTGTGTGTGTGTGTGTGTGTTTGTGTGTGTGTGTGTGCACTCAAGACATCCAGCCAACCTGCAGAAGTCTGCAGCCCAGTTCAGCCTCCCCAGTCCTCAAAAAAGTGTGGTTCTGCCCCAGCATTATTTTTTTAAATATTTAAAAATGTGTCAACATGTAAATTTGATTATTGAACTAAAAAGTTGTTTTATTGACTTAAAGTGTAAATGTTTAAAAAAGTGACTGTTGAGATTCTCTCCTTAATGCAACATCATCTGGGGATCATGAATCTGTAAATAAAATGTTTTAACAGTTGTTGACATACCGCTGCAGCTTCCCTTAATCAGTTTATTTATTTTTGCTGTCAGACTTTGTGATAAAAAGGAAATCATGAACCCTCAGAGGAAACATCACTTTCCATTCTGCACCTCCAGCTCATCAGTTCTCTGCTCTTATGTAAGAACCCCGATGGAGTTCATTATCACTTAATGTCCCGTTCACAGATGCTTCTATAACTGAACATAAAATAATGTGTGTGTGTGTGTGTGTGTGTGTGTGTGTGTGTGTGTGTGTGTGTGTGTGTGTGTGTGTGTGTGTGTGTGTGTGTGTGTGTGTACCACAGACTGGCGTGGTACCACACCTTTGCCACAAAGGAAATTTGGCAGTGACTCCAGACTTTGTGGCGAGAAATGAAAGAGTCCAAGAGAGAAAGATGGAGGGAGGGAGGACACGACGACAGGGACATTTTTCCTCCAACAACTCCTGATAATACACACACACACACACACGCGCACACACACACACGCACACACGCACACACGCACACACACGTGCACACACATTCTCGGCAAGAACCAAAGACACAATGGCATCGTAATGGGTGTGTTTACTGTGTGTGTGTGTGTGTGTGTGTGTGTGTGTGTGTGTGTGTGTGTGTGTGTGTGTGTTTATGTGTGGGAGAGGTCATGTTCACACACCGTTCTATTTTGGAACACACTGAAGGAGGGAAGTGTGTGTGATGATAGATGGGAGACACACACACACATACACACTGTTAACATGGGTCGCTGCGGGAATCCCCCACCTCTATCACCCACTGATCACACACACACACACACACACACACACACACACACACACACACACACACACACAAACAAATACAATAAAGTAATAAAACGGCAAACTAACAATCTGTTTGACCTTTGACCTGTTAAAACGAGACCACATAAGCGATTAGTTTAAGTTTAAAGAAAAACATTTTAAGTTAATTAAAATTTTAAGACAAACCTTTATTATATTCCTCAAGATGTGAATTCTATCGGTACATTGACAGGGATCGTCTCCCGCCGTGAGGTGCATGTGTGAACTGCCAGGTCGGGAGAATCTCCAGAGCGGTCCTCCTGAAGTTATCTAGATATTTTCAGGAGTGCATCATGTGAAAACAGCTTCAGTCAGAGGGCTGTATGTGAGTTATCTGCACTCTGCTGAGTTGAAAATAAGTAGTTATGACCAAACAAACAAACAAAAGATTGATGGCTACACATGATAAAACTGAACCGGTGCAAACCCAAATCAAAGACACAAATACAATACTTTTATACAAACAAAAGAAAAAAGGTCAAATCTATCAGTCAGGACTCTTCCTTTATCATATTCTGCAGCTGCAGCGTGGTGCATTTGTACTTTGCATGCAGTATGCATTGATGACATTGTCAATATTTGGTTAACTTTGGTCGGTAGCCCAATATATGATGATGATGATGTTGATGAATGAATTTTGATATTTTGCTAATGCATCCAAGCACTGTGAAGTCCAAGGCAAACTTCCCACTGGGCCTGCTGGCTGTCCCCCGCTCAC